TCAGATATATTAGAACTCTTGTCGGGACTAAAATGCAATTTGAAGCGTCCAGTTTCATGGAGTAACGCAAGAGTTCGAATGAGTCAGGGAGGGAGGGGTTTCTGCAAGCAGCTGAACACGTATTCCCTAATAGGTTCATAATATGGAGATTACTAAAATATTGCCTCTTATTCGCGTTCAATTTGATTTTAAATATCAGACTGTAATCTACTTTGTTCTTTATATTTATCTATTTTTTCAGGTCATTCTTATAATAGTTACACATGTTAAAAGTTTAATTAAATGACAGTTCCAGCTAATACACGTAATTAATTATCAAGTATATTTTAGAAAGACAATACCTATTTATTATAAATAATTAATCTGACTAAATTTTTTAATCTAATCAAATTAGTCAATTAGCCTTTATATTAAACACTAAGATTGTAAAAATACAAAATAGTAGTACTCTGTATAATGGACTTCGTCTTTGTAATGATTTGAGTTAACAGAGCAGATATGAGGTTAATGACGAAGGAATTTTATGGGCCGGAATTTGAGGCCGTTGTGAAAAGCGAGACGCGAAGAAGATGTGGGCCTCTGTGTGTGGGATGGCGTAAGCAACCTAAAGTCCAAAAGGACTTCAGAGGTGTAAAGAACTAAAAGCCCGCAAAAAAACGGGATTTGGTTGGGAGCATCTGGGAAAAAAAAAAGTTTGAACACAGCAAAGTAACTTCTGAAAAGTGAATGGAAATGAGGATGAATAATGAAGACAGGTGAGAGTCGTAGTGGGAGCAAAAAGCCAAAAACCATGAAACCAAAGAGGCGTTGCGTTACATGTGGGTTGTGTGGGGTATTTATTTAGTTGGAACTTGTTTGGATGGATGCATGAAGTGGGCGATTGTCTTGCCAGTTGAGGCGTGGGCGTGACCCAAGTTGAAAGAAGGGAGTCACGAGGGGAGTTTTGAGGGTAACCCCACATGCCCTGTTGTTGCCTTTGGTGGCCTCCCAAATTGCACTCTGCCCTTAGCCGCCGCACGCATTCTTCTCATTTCCCATGCCAACCTCCCTATGTAGAGCGCCGGGGTCCCCCTCCCGCCTCCTCTCTTTTAATTCCTTTCATACTCTTCGCCCCACCCCACTCATCTCAACCAGCCATAGATTTACCCCTTTTCTTTGGATTCGGATCATCTCCGTGCTCTCTTTCTATGGACAAATAGATTAGATTTGTATCTTAACTTGTCATGAATATATATATGATCATTATTAAATCAAATAAAAATTAAATAGATGGATGAGATTGGATATATGGAGTCATATGTGAACATGTGGTGTTTATTTTTCCTATAGGTAAACTGAGTGAAGAAAATACACGACACGCACAACTTGGAAGTGAAGAAAGAAAATCTCAGTCCGCGCGTCGGACAACATGGGGGCAGTCCACCGAGGATGCGCTGGGTTGGACTGTTTTCGTTTGAGTTTGACTCAAATCCAGTGTTGTTATAATATGAACAACGCCCGTAATTTTTTTTTAAATATACATAAAATATAAATAAATAAACAAACAGTGTTGGCCGCCGAAAAAATAATATACAATTCGAAATGTAAAAAATAGATGCATAGTGAAAGATTCGTAGAAACGTGAGTGGGGGGAGCTGAAGAAGCATCCGTCCGAATCTGCCGTGTCAGAAAATCAGGCCTTCCACTTCATCCTCGCTTTCCTTCAACATTTATAATTTGTGGAGCCAAAATTATATGCTCAAAAAAATAGGCACAGCTGGCTTAGTAAAGTGGGAGCAGACTCATAGTTTAATATGATCTGTAAAAATAACACCACCACTTTCAAGTGATGAAGCATTCTTGAGAGCGGAAGGTCAAAGGATATAACGAACCGCACGCAAAATAGAATGTGACGGAAAACTGAAAGGAACGTTATTATTTTTAAATTTTGAAAACACACACAAATTGAAGTGAAGTGACTCTTTAGTCTTAGTAGACGCTCCTCTGCTTGATTGTCAACATCTCCGCCTAATCTAAATCCACAGCTTATTATTAATATTATTATTTGTTTTGAAATATGAGATAAAAGAGCAAGCACCCGCCCACCCGAATTACATTAAATAAGACTTGCCTAACGGATATATCCATCAACAATCCCATCTTTTAATTACGCACCTTCACTGCTTGAACACAGTTCTGGTGGGTTTGGACAGTACAGTGTCCCCAATTTTAGGACCCAAATTTTTTTTTAATTAAAATTCATAATCCTTTATCGTGTTGTAATCTGTGCATGTGACTTGTGGCAAAAGAAAAAGAGTTTGAATTTAATAATGAAAAATGAATTTCCATGCATTAATAATAATTGATGGTAATTGGGTTACCTAAGAAAGGAACTAAATTTCTTTAAAACAAGGTCAAATATTAAGTTTAACAATCTTTGATAATATTACGTGTTGCTATATATTGTATTAAACTTGCCAGACACCATTATATATACATGGAAGTAAAGGAATCCAGCTTGGGAAAATTACTCGTCTCAATAAAGTTGTCGTCATTTGAAGTGCCACCTCAAATTGGTGAAGTGCCCACTGTCCTCCATATCCCCATTTTAGTCGCCTTCATTATTATGCTCATCAACCCCACCCCTCCTCCCAAAATTATTATTTTTATTGCCCTTTTTCTTTTCCATCTTTTATATCTTTATTACAGTATATATGGCCATGGGTGTGTACTTCTTCACCTTGCCAATTCCTCAATTATTTCCCCCTCGCTGTTTATCTTCATTAATCATTATTAACCATGTTCATCATAATCACGATGACAATTACACAAATTAATAATCCAAACAAGAGCATTTTATTCCTAAAATTTGATCATAATACTAATCAGATCATAAAGCTAGGTACAAATTGAAGAGATCGACATCGTCCTTCCTACATTACAGAAGAAACTAAGAGAACAGAACAAAGGAACAAAAAGGGTGGAAAAACAATTATAATTAATGGGTAATTTTCTTGTAATGTGTTCTTTCCTCTGTGCCAGATAAAAGGGTAAATTGGGGAGTTCCGGAATTCGCCATTGAAGCTGCTCATGTGCTCCTTCTTCACCCGCATTCCCTAAATTCTCAGATCTGCGATCCTGCGCAGTTATTCCCACCATTTCTTTTTGTTTCTTCTCTTGCTTTCTACCAAAGCAACAGTAATGAAGATGAAAACAGAGCGATTGCAGAAACCGATGAAGCGATCGACGGCGATGGAGCCGCCGTTGACGGGGGAGGCGGGCTGTAGTAGTAGAAAGGGAAGTAAGGCACAATTGGGTTGGGTGGTGGCGGTGTCGGATAGTTCTTGTTGTACGGAGGAGGGTAATACGAGCCAGTGCCGCCCATTCCTCCCCCTCCCCCTCCACCGCCATACGCAGGCGGAGGCGGGGACGAGTAAGAGTACTGAGCAGGCGGGGGAGGAGAGTAGTAGTAGGATCCACCACCACTACCTCCGCCACCACCGCCGGAGCTAGGAGGAGAAGGAGGGGGAGGGCAATTGCTGGATGATGAGGAAGCCGGAGGAGGAGGAGACGGCGGCGGCGGAGAGGGAACAGGCGGATTACAGGGGTTCTGACAAGAAGAGCACATTGTGCACTGGATCTGATCCTTGGAGGTGGATTTGACAGAATCCGCCATAGCCAGAGCAACAAACAGAGGCACGAAAGTGAAGAAGATTCTGAGAGGAGCAGCCATTATGGAAGCAACAAGGAATCAGAGGGAATGATCCAAGAAGAAGTGGGGCTGCTCAGAAGTAGGAACAAGATGATGATGAAAGAGAGAAAGAGAGAGGAATTGATGACGATAATGGAGGGTGAATAGAAGGAGTGAGTGAGTCTTATCTCTGAAGGCAGAGAGCGCACTATACAGGACCTTTTTATTATTATTTTTTTTATATACAAATTTTTAGAAAGGATTTCAGCTCACCCACGATTCAAGGGCAGAGCGAAATCTCCCTTCTTTTTAGATCATATCAATATTTGGGCATACGAGGAGTTATTGATACATCTTAATTAAAATTTTTATTTAATTAGTTAATTAAAAAAAAAGGAGTAAGAAATGAGGAAAGAGAGAGAGAAAGAAGGAGGGAGGAGGCCGAAACAGTGAATGTGGGTGTGAATAAGAAAAGGTGGGAGGCGAAGACACTGACACCGACACGTTTTACTTTGGGAGAAAGCAGTCAGCATTCAACACATTTATATGCAATCTATTCTATGATTCTATCCCTTTCTCTCGTGTTAAATATATATATATATATATATATATATATATAAGATTCATTTGATAACATTATACTATAAACTACGTCTTATATCTGGGACTGAGTACAAAATTTAAGGTAGTTTTACCATTTTGGTACGTGGGTTTAACCACAATATGTGATTTGGTGGTGTGGTGTGCAGCACTCTTACACGAGACGCAAACACCACGTGGTGCTTTTGGCGTTATCAGAGCTTCGTGTCACACTTGAATTCTCTCATCATTCATCCCCTCCTCTCTTTGTTTCTATGCTACTGTACTTGCCCCTAAATACTTGATCCCATTTTATCATCTGTGAATTGATTTTTTTTTTTGCTTTTCTTTATCTTTTATTAATTTCACCAAAAATTAATTTTACATAAATAAATTTTTTTCATTGGATATATATATATCTAAATATGAAGATCCAAATGGAGCCATGAAAGGAAGAAAAAAAATACAAAAAAATCTCACTGAAATAATAGCTTTCAAATTGGACTTGTGAAGCTCCAAATTTGCCCAACAATGTTGAATATGAGATAATTGTACCAAAAAAATTTAAAAAAAAATCCCTAACCTTATTATTTTGTTGTGTCATATGAGTATGTTACAGGTATTTGCAAAATGAGTGGACGTGTAGATGATTCCTTAACTGTTTGGCATTGGGGCGATGAAATGCATTGCATGCATGGACAAATGGTCACATAGTTTTGCTTCTTCTGTATAACGTTATCCCTATTCATTCATATATATTTTCCCTTTTATTTTTTTAATTAAGTGCAAGTATTTTCTTATAAGATACTCCTTGTGTACTATCATATACAAATGTACTAAATGCGAGCGCTTTTCCTCATAGATTTAAATCTTGACTCATTATGTTGTGTCTTTATTATTTTATCCTCATTTAATATTTACTTAACTAGCTTATCATTTTTTAATATTCATGGGTGTTATTATGCGTTTTTGTTATAATGTATTAAATTTTAAATATAAAATATTTTTATTATTTTAAATAATATTTATTAAATGTGCAAATATTAAATTGATTTTACTAATCCTATACGTGTACGTAATATTCATAATTAAGTTTTAAATTTGTAACTTATTATAAATTTTATTACATATATAAATTTTATTACGTACTTCTCCAATCCTAAATATAAAACTTATTTTATAGTGTAAATTACACTACAAAATGGGTTTTATATTTAGAACTGGAGGGAGCATATTAATTGATATACTTACACATTTGAGTGTTATATAATAAGGGTCTGATTCAAATATCATCGGCCCCAATTAGGGGATGACTTTCTCTTTCTCAAAGGCATTTTCTGCATTTATATGAACTTAAATTCAAGACTTTGTGTTAAGAGATCAAAATTCTTTATACTGGGACTAATGCCTGATAGTAATGCTTAGCAAAATTCGTAAAATAAACATGTTCGACGAAGGTTATCACAGGAATAATTAAAATTAATGTGTCTAGGATATATATATATATATATAATATAACAGGACAAAATCAATTTTAACAATAAGATAATATTGGAGTTTAAATGACACCAATAAATAAAAGACAAATGAGTTGAGTCAAATTATTAGGAGAAATGAGTATTGAGCTATAATTAATCATTGTAGGTTAAACTAAAAGGACAAGTGCAACTACATTTTAACTAAATTTCTAACTGAAAGGCCACTGAATCATCTCTCTATTATTGCAATGCATCAAATCCAAAATCCCTTTGATTTTCTATAGAAAGACTTAATACTTCGCATTAATTAACTAATAATTAAATAAATATGGGGTTCAGACCAGTTTTGTCAAAAGTATTTTCTGGAATCCATATGAGAAAGGAAGAAAGAAAGTGGCCAAAGTCATGCATGCCCAAAAAGAAGTCTTTTATTTCATGAATCCCAAGGCTCAATAGTGGTAAGAAATGGTGGGTGTTACCATCCCGTGAAGGGCAAGGAAGAGAGAGAAAGAGGGAATAATGGCCATCCACTGGGACTTTCCAGGCTGTATTAGGGTTTTATTAAAGCCTACTGTCCCTCCATTAGGCTCCACCACCAAATCCTTCTGTTCCTTCAAAGATCCTTTCCATTATGTTTGTCCCTTACCCTCCACAGAAAGCCCCTTATGTTTCTCTCTTTTAATTTTTTGAGGCCAGGACTGTTTAGTTTTCTAGTTTCTGATAAGTGTTTAGATTAACACTTCTCTACCAACTTCAGCTTATTTGAGTTAAGAAGCTCAGTTGTGTTTATCGATACGTTCATAACACATTTGTCTGTATTTCCTTTAACGTTCATTCCTTGCATTGTCGAATGATACAAACTTGAAGAGTTATAATAGTAATTGGATTTTGATTGAACTCCACCTGATCTTGAAGGTTCTACTCTTTCAATGTTAAATTACTTCAGATATTTTGTCTATTGTGGTGAAAAACCATTTTTAATTATATATGCCTTGGAATGATTAATGACAAAAATATTAAAGTGATCTTTTTAGTTATCGTCTATAAATTATAAAGTTAAATTATATTCGTGATTGGGAAAGATGTTTTTAATAGCACTTAACATTTTAAATTAATTTATGATTTGTCCAACATTTTAAAATATTTTTTCAGTAGCTTAAGTATTCACTGCCGCTGACAGAAGGATTTGAAAGTCAAGATTGCACCAAAAATATCAAGTGTTATTAAAATTTATTTTAAGATACTAAACAAAACACAACTTATTTTATGAAACTGAGTCCTACCAGTAAACTACTTTAAAATGCTGACTCATCTTAATTTTAAAATATACTACTTCCGGTCTTAATTATAAGACCTCATTTATAGTTTACAAACGAAATCTTATAATTAAGACAGGAGATAATATACTTGTTGAGCAAAGTACATGTGTCAATAAATCTTGCATCTGGCATATTTAAAGAGATCAGGGCTAACTGACTATTGTGTCCTCTATGGTTCCTGAATATAGAATTATTTCCCGTTTGTTCGATCTAAATTAATATACATTTGAAGATACAAAAAAATGTTGTTTAGTATGACAAGTTATAAAATAATAAGTTAATTATCACAAACGATATATTTATATAGCTGGTTTGACTACACGAATATCAAAAAATCTGTAATTAATATTTAAGCATTATCCTATTAATTTATAAGTAACTGAAAAAACTATTGGACAAGACATTTTACTTTTCTCATGTCCCAAAATCTTTCTACCTCCGCTATCAAACACTCAATTACTGAATTAATGTGTAAGATTATATAAAGTATAGAATTAACTAATAATTCATTAAAAAACTCTTTCAGATTTATATGGAAAGGCGTAAAGTTATAGGGTCTTCGTAGATGTTTACGTTTGTGTATATATGTATTTAATTATAGTAAAGTAAATGTTAAGCAAAGGTAGTATTGCAACAAAATAAAATAACCCGTAAAAAATAAAAAAGGAGAGCGCGATTATGGGATCTTGCTTTGCACTTTAATTTAATTCTTCACTCGTTTACTTGCTTTTTTTTTTCCTGTGTTGCGTTGCTTTTGAATTTTTGTCAACTTTTTGTTTTTTCAATTTGAAAGCTTTCTTTTCCATTATCATTGCTTCCCCTGCAAATCATATATCCTGTTATTCTCCTTTCGCTGTCTAAAGCATTAGCACAATTTATGCCCACTTTTCGTTAATCCTAAGATCCTCATTTTCTGTCCAATATTCTTATTCGATTCCATGATCTCTTTCGATATATATATATATATATATATATATATATATATAGCGACTAATGTAGTTATATATATGGAGATTGCTCATGATAAATATGGTGAAGAAAATTAACAATGATTTGGTGTTGAGAGGAATAATCTTCACAACGTTTATAAATTCTCTTTGGTTAATGAAGGGCGCATGAGAGTAATTTTCAATAAGATTTAAAGAGGCCTATGTGAAGAAATATATGATAAAGATCCTCACAGTGCATTGATTTGTAGCATTTATGTATATGAAAGTAGGAGATACAAAACGCATCAGGCTTCACAGAGAATGAATAAAAGAGGGGAAAACTACTCTTTTCTCCCCATTAAGTGACAAGCTAAGTGTGTTAGGTCAATGGGTAATAACACAATAATAAGCTAACTTGTCTGTCATCAGACCAAATATTATACTCCTCCGGTTCTAAATATAAGATCCACTTTGTAATGTAATTTACACTACAAAGTGGGTTTCATATTTAGGACCGTAAGAGTAAGTTTTGACATCAATCTCAATTGATCTATCATAGTTAATTCTCAGTTTTATGTTAACAAACAAAACATTATTTGGGAATTAAGTCTACATGCATAATAAGAAACACAATATATAGCCATTTGACTGTAGGAATATATATATATCTTAACTTACTGTGCGAGAAAATCAATATCCCTGATGATATATATGTATATATCAATATATCTGATGTGGAATGATGGGTCTGAAGAATGGAGTGTGTTGGTTGGATGAGTTGCATGCGTGCATGATGAGTGATGACTAATTTTTGGGGTTTGGTTCCATTACTGCTTTCCACAAGCCAGCCAAAATTTTCAGCTAAATCTATCATTTGGCTGCATCTGCATATGATTCTCTGTGAG